TTAGTATCAAAATCTAAATTTAAATCGTGATAGGGAAAACGATCGGAATTTAAGAAAACCCTAATATTTGATAGATTACAATGATCAAATTTACTCATATCTTTTAAAAGTTGACCTTATCGATCTTTTTGAAATGCTATTATAATATGTCTAGGTGTTTCTAATTTTGTTGAAGTTTTTACTGCCCACGTATGACGTGTGGAATCATTTAAAGTAGGATACTCAATTAGATCCCAACTTCTAAACTTAATAGGTAATTCAATATTTTTACTAATTATATTATTCAAGCGTAGTTGTTCTTCGATATTAACTGTAATTTGGGGTACATTCCAAAACAATTTAGTTATCAGAATGTTTGGTTTTTCTGTTTCATCTTTTGCAAGAACTGCATCAATATCATCACTAGATCTAATTAAAATTAAATCTTGTTTCATATTTAATATTATTTTTCTAAAATCTTCAAAAAATCCGGAAAACATTTTTAAAGGTATATTTACATTAAAATTTCCATTTTTATCTAATAAAATTTTTTGTTCACCTTTTGGAAACCAACCAGCGTTTTGCAATAATTTACTTTCATTATCATTTATTGATAAGTAATTTTTCAAGCTAGAAACTAAACCAACTTGTCTTACAGAATCAATTGTTACACCATTTAATACATATCTAATTTCTTTAAACATATAAGCGATACTATTATTAATAAATTCAAATTTAGTAGGTACTTTTTTCTGATCTGTTAACATTTTACCTTCCATATAAATAAAGCTATTACAAGGTAGAGTATAAGCATCAAGTTCTTCTATAGTTATTCTAATTTCATCATTATAATTTGGAATAGCTGATGTATTTGACTGATAAATATGAAATTGATAATCTTCAATTGTAGTATCACTAAAAGGTTCCCCTGTAACATTTAACATTTCCATTATACTAAAACTTTAAATCCTATAGATTTCAAAAAAAGTCGATTTTTAGATGTTATCAACGGAATGGTTGATTTATTACTAATTTTCTTTGTATAACAACGCCTTTTATACTGTGGTCTTTTATTTAGATATTCTACTTGATTAAATATTAAAACCATAATTATTCAACTTTTTTAAGATGTAACCGAACAGTTATCGTCTCTTTACGAAAATCTATCAATTCACCAGTTTGATCAATAACCTTAATAGTAATGCTGTTTATGGTTTTGACACTAACAGGATAATACAGTAATGTTACAGGTTGCTCCACTATTTTATATCCATTTGGAACTTGCGGGAAAAATTCGTGAATTATATGAACTGGATTACCATTTAAAAAGGATCCAACAGCAATATTACAATCAACACATATTGTATTAACTTTTAAAATATTTATTTTATTTGAAGTATGACTTATATCTGGTTCAAGTTTAGTTTTAGAGAATCCAAGTAGGTTACCAATCGAGTTATTAACATTAAAATTTATCCACTCACTACTTTTTATTGTAATTGTAGATGTTTTTACATCTGGTGTTATTCGAATTGTAGCACCGCTGTCAAATACTTGTTTTTCTATAATTTTAATTATGTCATTTATTTCATAAGCACCTATGGGTATTTCAAATTTAAATTGATTATTTATACCCCACACTAAAACATTATTCTTAGCATGAACATTTGGAATGCTGTTAAAGGTATCAAAACTTATTAATCCAATTTCATATTCAATATTTTCATCAAGATATATGGGAGGATTAAAATTCGCAGTTAAAATTGTAGATTCACCACTTAAAGTAAATGTAAATGACATGATGATTCGAAACAAAATGTGTTTGTTTTTAATTGTATTGGTTATATAAAAATTTTAAGCAATACTGACCACACTGATAAGAGTTGAAAGATTGAATAGGATCATAATTATATTTAATTTTAACTAAACCATTACTTTTAAAATATCTGATTAGTTCAAGTGGAGGGGGTAAATTTCCATAACTATCAAAGTAAATTATGTTTTTATTATTTTTGCTATATGCTGTCCAATGAGTACCAGTACCACTTTCAACATCAAGATTAATTATACCTGATTCTTTTGATTTAATTTTATATGGTAAAGAATCTCTCATATACACACCACGAAAGTAAGGAATCCTAAGAACAATTACATATTTTTTTAGATCAATATTAGTTAACGAGTGCTTAGGTAATTTAATAGAGATTTTTTTAATTTTTTTTGTTGGGTTCCAGATCCTTTGTACGGTTTTAGGTAAAACCCCTTTCCCCGTTTTGTTGTTTTTATAGTTTTTTTTATTCCATATCCTTTGTAAGGTCTCAAATAAAAACCCTTCCCCATTTTTGTAGCTTGCTCCACAGCCAAATTATGTCTTTGCTGTTCAGCAAGTTGTTCACGATTTGCTTTGGCATCATTCACTGCTTTCGCAATGCCCGCTGCACCTCCCCCTACAGCTCCTAAAGCTCCTAGTAATGGTAATAGAAAAGGTAAAAATCCACCCTTTTTTGGTGTTAAAATAATACGTTTTTTTTCTCTTAAAGTTCCACCTTTTTTTGTAGTTTTTTTATTTTGTTTAATACCCATTCCAACTTTTCGTTTTCCTTTCATGGCTGTTGTTACAAACCAAGCTGCAGCTTTTTCTCCAAATTTAGCGTCTTTTGATTTAACCCTATTCCAGGCTTTGTTCTCCAATATTTTATCAGCTTTATGTCTTTCGTTTATATTTTTATTTTGTGAGTATGCAATATCGTGTTCTTTACAAGCTTGATCTAATGGATTAATTCCTTCATCACTTCGTTCTAAGCGTTGTTGTAATTTTGTTCCAGGCCCACAATAAGAATATCCAGGAATATGAAATTCAACGGGAAGTTTATTAACACGTTAAGTGCCGCGTTGTAATTTGTGATTTTTTCTATTGGGCCAAGTTGTTATTTTAGTAGTTTCAGGTTGATTTTTATTAATTATGCTTAAACTTCTCTTATTTTTACTAAAATTTGTCTAATTTTCCCTAAAAACAAAAAAAAAATTGGCGGTCCCACGGACCGCTTTGGCCCTCTGAGACAAGTGTACTGCAAAAGCACGATCGGTCCCGCTCGGAGGTCCACGTGGGTCCACCGACATCATTTGTTTATTGCAGCGCGCGCGTATATTATCGGCTGTTATTGCAATTCTAGTGTCGCGTAGGAAGTCGTTTGGTACGCTACGGTTAAAATGGCTGGTATTCGAGACCGCACGAAACGTTTATTTTTATTGGCGAAACTGCAAAAATCGAATAACGATGATGGTAAGAGTTTTGGCTTTTAATTTATTTTTAAGAGTATAGAAATTAATTAAATTTTAGATTGCTCTGATGATAGTGATGTCCCTGATCCATATGGTTCATCCGACTCAGTCAATGATCCAAGTTACTCACCTAGTGACTTGTCTGAACCTGATTCAGACGCACCCGCAGAAACTGCAAACCACAATGACACAAAGGTAAGCTTTTTATTTAGAAATCCTTTATATATCTCTAAGTAATGTTTTTTGTAGGTTTCCGAAACTGTTCCAGAGGTTCCAAACATTGGCTCGAATCTTAGGGAGCAATCGAGCAGCTCCGAATCTGAGGAGAATGTTGCCCCTGTGCATCCATTTCCGGGCTGGTCCTCTCCACAAGGCAATCATTTGAACTTTCAAAATAAGTTCACCCAACAACAAGGTATTCTTCCAGAGTTACAAGCTGCGTTACAGGGAGGTACACCTTATGATTTTTTTTCCTTCTTTGTGGATAATGAAATTATAGAGCTAATAGTGGAGCAAACTAACCTTTACGCATCGCAGGTTATTTGCAAGGCGCAAGATATTCCACAGTTTTCAAGACTTCATAATTGGTCTCCTACAGATAAAAGAGAAATGCGTAAATTTTTGGGGCTAATCGGATATATGGGTATTGTTCGAATGCCAACAATCCGACATTACTGGAGCAGAAAACCACTTTTTCGGAATGAAAATATATCAAAAGTTATGAGTAGAAATCGTTTCGAGTTATTGTTACAACTGTGGCATTTTTCCGATAATGAAAGTTGTCCAGAAGGTGATCGACTTTTCAAAGTCCAGCCACTTTTTGACAAGCTCATCGCGAAGTTTTAGTATGCATTTACGCCTGGCAGTACAGTTTGTGTAGATGAATCGGTAGTCCCTTTTCGAGGTCGTCTTGTATTCAAGCAGTATATTCCTCTAAAAACCCATAAATACGGGGTTAAAATATTTAAGCTTTGTAGTTCAGAAGGGTATACTTATAACATGAAGATATATTGTGGAAAGGAACAAGATGCAGGTGCTAGCGTGCCTACAAATGTGGTAATGACCCTTGCTGAAAACCTGTTAGATAGCGGCAGAACTATGGTCACCGACAATTATTACACTAGTATGGATTTGGCAAATAAGTTGCTGGATCGAGAGACACACCTTCTAGGTACATTGCGATCTAACAGGCGTGGAAACCCAAAAGAGGTCACGGAAAAGAAACTTAAGCGCGGTGAAATTGTAGCTAGAGAAAATGAACGGGGAATATGCGTAATGAAATGGCGTGACAAAAGAGACGTGTTGCTGCTGTAAACCAAGCATACAGATGTTATGCAAGAAATTCAAGTTCGAAATGAAACAAAAACAAAACCTCTCGCTGTTGTAGACTATAACAAAGGAAAGAGTTCTATAGACTTGTCCGATCAAATGGCATCGTACAATTCGGCGTTGAGGAAGACCATAAAGTGGTACAGGAAGCTGGCTATAGAAGTCCTATTTGGTACTAGCGTAGTTAATTCGCATTATTTTTTTAATAATAAAAATAAAATAATGACCATGATGATCATGCAAATATTGATATGGAATATCAACAATTTAAAAATATAGCTTCTTCTTGTTGGAAAAGTAAGTATGATTTTTTTGTTATAGATAAAGATTGTGAAATATCTTCTGGTAGATATAGAAAAGGGTTTGATTCTTATATAAAGCTTTAAAAATTGAAAACTATATTAGTCAGAATGAGTGATCTAATACGAAAACAGCTAATTCAATCACGGAAAGTATTAAAGGATAAATATAATTTACTAAAACAAGAAAAAGCATTTTCTCAAAAACAATTCAAGGAACAACTACAACCACTCATTGAACCTATTCAAAAATTTATTTCATCAGCTCCATTGAAAACAGAAATAAAGCATGAACCTAAAACGCCTAGTAACATATCACAATATTATAAGTTTATGCCAAATCTTACTGGTTCAATCATTCAACCAGAATTTGGTGAAACATTTATTGATGATAATCCTGAAGAAGTGACTCCGGAAGTACCACAAGAAGTATTTGATAGTTATTTAAATAAATATAATCCTTTACCAAGAGGTTACATTGAAGATTTATTAAATGATAATGAAGGAAATTTTGATCATACATTTGGTGTATACTTTGATCCAGAGTCTAAAGAATGGTCTTTCGGAGATTCTGTAATTAATTTTGATGGTCGTGATATTATAATTCAAGATTTAAAATATAAAGGTACTCCCGGTCTCTATGAGTTACTTTTTAAGAAGTTTCCTACTGGATATAGACCGGAGGATGTTGATAATTTTATAGATATCGTTAAACGAACAAATGCTCAGTATTTAGGTTATAACCCTGAAAAAGGTTTATCTACTTCAAATGCTAAAAAATTTATTGATATAATTAAACCTCGGGTTACAAACTTATATTCAATGAGTCAAGATTTACAAAGAAGTAGATCTAATTCACTCCCACAAAGTTCTCTTCCTCGTTTACAAACTAAATCTCCAAAAATATCTAAACTTTTAGATCCTAAAAAATCTACCTCACGTACATTGCGCAGTCAAAATGTTAAGAAAAGTGGTGGTGGAATTTTAATGAATTTTAACACCAAGAAAATTGATTATAAATATTTTGATAATTATAATGAATTAATTGATAGGTTACGGTTACTAATTGCTTCTCAATCAGCAGGAAATACAGGTCATAATAATGAAATTGTTTCAATTGTAGAAGAATTACGAGAAGGTGGAATAATATCATAAATACAATGATAAAGAAATTTATTTCACAGTTTACATCATGCCTCTCAACAAGTTTAATCAACATTTTCTTACTTCAAATCCTTCTTGTTCTGAAGAAGTGGTTGGAGCCCCTTCTCAATCTGTACCATTTTACATTTGTCAACCTACTGAATATTAGAGTACATGTATAATTTATATTCGAGGCTCTTTTATTGGCAAGAAGAATAATATACATTATATCTTAGAAAATGGTACAAGTACTTATGAAATACCAGTAACTGGTAAAGTGGTACGTGTTCAATGCGATCCAAATATTCTTAACGTTAACTATAAAAATCAATCAACGAAAATTGAAGATTTAATAAATGGAAATATTTTAAATAAAGGTGATATTATGGAATTTAAATTCAATCACAATCAACCTAGCCTATCCTTATATTTGGAGATGGTTATGCAATGTCCTTTAGAACACTGATTCTTATAAATGACTCTGCAACCAAAAAATTTTATCATTTGAAGTTATGCCTCTTAATAAATTCATTCAACATTATCTTATATCCTCTTCCTCCTGTTCTGATGAAATAGTGTCATCACCTTCTCCACTTTTAAATGCACCGTTTTATATTTGTGATTCTTTTGATTATCATGTTAAATGTTTAATTCGAATAAGAGGTGAAAAGAAAACAAGTTTAAATAAAAGTTTTTATGTATTAGATAATGGTGGCACTGGTTTTAAGTTTCCTTTATCGGCTAAAATCGAAAGTGTTTCTCATTACAAAGCCGATGGAGATGTTTTAATAAATAACAAATCATTTAAATTTCATGAATTACATAATACAAACATTAATAAAGGTGATGTATTGACATTTAAGCTTGGTACACCATCAAATATTTGTATTGAATTGCTTATACAGCGTCCTTTAGTGAAAAATGTCTAAATCATAATACATCATTATTGGGTAACCGTTAGACATATGACAAGAAAAAATGGAAATAATATGATATTGAAATATATATCAATAGACCTGCTGATTATAAAATATTTTGATCGTAACACTCAGTGGTTAAGTGAAGATAATGAAGAATATACAATATAAAATTGTAATAAGTTATTTGTAACAATTTAGTATTAAAAATAAAAACCTAACACATTAATGTTTTTTATTAGTTCAGAGGTACCAATCGAGTCTATTAGACATTAATCATATGATATAATTAATTTAAAAAACATAAATATCATCTTAATACTGAAATTAAAATTTAAACTAGGAACTCTTGATAATATGTTTATAGACTTGTAGTGCTCAACAATGTAAAATGTCTAAAACTCAAATAGTTGAGGAGCTTCATAAACCAGCAAGAATAAATTTCCGAAGACGACGTGTTATTGTTAAAGGTTTAAATGACTTGATACAGGCTGATTTAGCTATAATGTCACAATTTTCAAAAGAAAATAATAATTATAATTATATTTTGGTAGTTATTAATGCATTTAGTAAATTTGTTTGGGCCATACCTCTAAAAACAAAAACAGGAAAAGAAATTGTAACAGCAATGAAAACAATCTTATCACAAATGCCTCATCCTAAACATTTGCAAACTGATAATGGAACTGAATTCTATAACAAAGACTTAAACAATCTTTTAAAAAAATACAATATTAAGCATTATAGTACATATTCAAATTTGAAAGCAAGTATTGCTGAAAGAGTGATAAGAACTTTAAAGTCATTATTATGGAAACAATTTAGTTTACAAGGTTCTTATAATTGGTTAAAAATTCTTCCTAAAATTATAAATAAATATAATAATACTATTTAAAAACAGTTGATAAAAGGAAACAGAAATTTAAAGTTGGAGATTATGTGAGAATTTCTAAATATCGACATGTTTTCAAAAAAGGTTATACACCCAACTGGACTAATGAAGTTTTTAAAATAAAAAAGGTTAAAATAACAAATCCTACTACATATATTCTGGAAGATAGCAAAAAAGAAGAAATTCAAGGCGGTTTTTATACTGAAGAATTACAAAAAGCTAAATATCCTGATATATTTTTGGTGGAAAAGGTTTTACAAAGAAAAGGGAATAAGTTCTTGGTATAGTGGCTTGGAATGGATAGCTCTCATAATTCATGGATTAATAAAACTGCTGTTTTGTAATGTATAATGTAAATATGTTTTCTTATATGTATTAATAAAACAATAAATAAATTGATTGATTTTTTATTTTTTATATATTTAAAACTAATACAATATACTTTATTTAAAAAAATAAAAACATTTTTATAAACCTAAGTTTAATTTTTTATAAACTTTATTTCGATGTTCTACATTTAATACAGGATTCAGAACATTGCTGAAGATTCAACTCGTTTTTTAAATCTGATTCGATCAAGAGCTTCCTGTTCCCATAAACTTTGTCTTGCAGATTGGTATGCAAACAACCAGGTGCATAAAATATATTTTTGATTTTGGTTTTCATTAAAGGTAACTTTCTTCATTTTTGTTTTCAAGAAATTCTGGATACATATAAATTATTTCTACACCTAGAGCATATGTTATTGGATTTACTGTTTTTATTGATTCAATTATCTTCAGAGCTGTATTAGTTACATCACTAGAATGTTGAACACCTAATTCAATAACTTTTAAAGCACTATCAAATTGTTGACGCTTGTATGTATACAATATGTGATTTATTAAAGCTAGCATTTTCCAAAGTTGTGAAATGGAATTAAAATCTAACCAAACGGTTGAATGTTTATTTAATATTTTTATAACTTTTTCCAAAGATTCAAATTCTAAACAAAAATGTTATAGGACGATGGCTTCTTGCTCTTCATCCAAATTCATAAACTTATTAATTATTTCCTTTTGTGATAAAAAACTATTCCAATCATTTTCATTAAAATTAATATAGTTTTTAATATTTTCACTTATTCTCACACATGGAATAAAATTATTAGAATTATAAAATATGCTTACTATCACATATTTTGTTTTTGTATTATTCAAATAAAATATTCTTTCACCTATATGAACATGTTTGTCTTCTGTAGAACTACTCATTGTAATGTCTAATTACTTGTGATAATTAATATAATTACCTTCATTCTTTTAAATGTTTTTTGGACGGATGTAATTAATAAAACAATTTTGTTGTATATACATTTTATTATTATTACAAACTATGACATACAGATTATTTCATATTATATAAGTTCTAATATTTATATTAAAATGTCAGATTTTAGGCTATAATGACCCCAAGGAAGAGTGTCAATAGAATTCCTAATTCTATATCTTTTATCATCAAATGAACTTAGTGCAATTTTTGATTGATTGACGCTAAAAACATTATGTGCATATGAACGAATTATACACTGTGAAACAGTTTTCTCATTTTCTTGATTTAAACATTCTACATAATCGTCAAATGTAATTTTGTTTTTGATAATACAATGTTTGATTCCTTTTGCTTTTTTTGTTATTTTTTTATTATCAAGTTTGTATGAATACATTTTAGATCTTAAACCAACAAAATGAGTTATAATATTTCCATTTGCTTCATCTTTCATTAAACCTGGAACTTTTTTATTGCAACGAGGTATATTATATATATTATTTGGAGCATAGTCACTAGTATCAAACATATTAATATTAGTTTTAATAATTTCTTCATATAAATCATTACATTTAATTTCATAAATGAAACTATCTGTGTCAGTATACATAATTTTACAGTTATCACCCAATTTAGGCAACATGAAGTCATAATGAAATTCATACATGCAAGTCTTTGAAATATCTAAAATAGCCATGCCAATGTATAAAGGTTTATTAAATTGTATTTCTGATTTTCGTAACTCTATAGCCATTAAATCATCATCAAAGATAGTTCGACTGTGGAACCTAGGACTTGATATCAAATTTTTTGCACCATATCTTCCCTCCCATTGTCTAACTAGTTTTACTACACGGTGCTTTCTAATATTTTCCATAGTTTTGCCATAAATAGAATTAACTTTGAGTTTAAAATGATCTTGTTTAAATTTAGTTTTTGCCTGTGCACGAAAACGTGTATTTAGATCAACGTACGGTTTTAACCATGCAAATTGTTTAAATTGTAAAACTTTATGAATTTTTTTAATAATTAATCCATGAGCTACAGCTTGTTTCAGAGCTCGATAATGAATAATATAATTTTTTTTATAATAAAATGTTAAAAGTTTAGGTAATTTTGAATTTTGTGGTATTCTATGTTCTGCACAAAAAGGTAAATCTTTATGACTATCATGTAGTACTTCTGGGTATTCTAAATCAACTTCTAAAATATATCCAAAAGAAGCATCATCAGGGATGCAGGTAACATCTATGTTAGTATCAACCCATTGAAATTTACCAAAAGGAAGTGGTTGTGACATAGCCCATCTACATAAAATAAATATGAATCTGGTTTTGATTTATCATAATTTGACAAATATTTATTATTAGCTTCTGAATATCGTGAAGAACATTGACTTATACCTCCTCGTATTCCATTTTCAATAAAAAGAATCATATCATTATCGTGTAAAATTTCTAATTCACATTTTGTATATTTTAACATACAATACCATGAATAACCAGGTACTGTATAATACCATGCAGGATCTAAACCACTCGTACTAAATCCAATATTTCGAAAATTTTCAAAAATATCAGCTAACAAAAGAACATCTGTTTTCAAATACAAATCAGAATATTCCCCCAAATTCTGAATATTAAACGTTCCCCAAATTGTTTTTGTATGTTCATATTTTTCATTACTAATTTCTTCATCATTGAGTTTATTATAAAAATAATTCTTTGAAGGTAATTGCTTTTCATCAAGTTTATTCCAGGTATCTATATAATCATAACAAAAAACACCTTTCTTTGTAAGCAACTGAAACTTATCAGGATTTAAATAATTGAACTCATTATGTAAATTAACTAAATCTTTTGTATTTAATGTTGATGCTAATTGATCAAGAGAAGCACTCATAAATCTAATTGAATCTATAAAACGAAGTTTTATGCTACATGGAGTATGCAAAGTAAATGAAATATATTTTTCTTTGTTTATTGGTAACAAAGTAATTTTTCCCAATTTAGCAAGATCACGTATTATAAAATGACTATCATAACCACTTAAATTATGAAACACAACTGGTACAACAAATTGTTTTCTAAAATTTAAATTACATGCTTCATGAGCAAATCCACGAAAATCTCCAGTAAAATGATTATGGTCACGAACGACAATATCTTTTAGTGTAAAATTATTTTCACAAATATGACAAAATTTTATATCAAATTTATTGGGAATTAGTTTCATTGGAACTATGTTTTTGAATTTTGATAGAATTGTTTCAGCAATATTATTCATTTCCTTTGCAAACCACTCCATACAATCAACACCTCGATAACTTTTAAAATATGATAAACTATT